TCCGTCATGCCAAAATGCTATGTTTTTTTCTCATCCATCCAAACTGTCGTGTGATCAAGGTTTCCCATAAATGCGACAATACTAATCCGCATAACTGGTAATCACTAACCACTACGTGTTGTAAATGGTTATGGGCGAGTATCCTCGATACTTCATGTTCGTTTCGTCGGTTGTTGTTTAGGCAAATGTTTAAGGTAGCCAATGACTAACTTCACCCGGTGGTGTAAATTTACACACCAGACACTGATGTGCGTGCTGTACCGCCGGCCTCAGGTTCACTGTACCTTCGCAAACGATAATTAAATTCACTAGGTAGAATTTGACACGGTTGTATAGTGTACTTAAAGTAGTGTACTTAACAGTGTACTTAAAAGGATTTTCTATGCACTGTTTAGGTGTTTGCCTCAAGTTTAAATGGATGGATAACAGTAATCCACAGCAAAGCAGCAATTTTCACAGCTTGCCGTTCTGTTCACGGAGATACGTTTTACTAGCTTGAAGTAAAATTTCACGGCCCTCAATTCCTCGGAGTAGTAATATCTTCAGCTTCGGTTGCAGTTCTTGATTTGTTATCAGTGAGCACTACTTCTTTCACCACTCTCTTTCGTATTATGTTTCTGTAGTGATAATTTGGCTTTTTACGTGGCATAATATTTGTCCCCATCACCTAAAACATCTAAACAAGATGCGTGTGAGCAAAATATCCGGTCTGTTGATATTCCTCGTCAAACGATTCTCGGGTACATGGAATCTGGTGTACATGGGTTTGATTATCTGAAAACTTCCGAATGTAAACATCTGAATCAAAGCCCATGGTACAAACTAATAGCGGTTCTTTGCCCTGTCTATTTAGCGCGCGATAAGATCCATTGTTGGGCTATTCTCCCTGTTGTCGGAGTTGAAGACGGTGGTAGTCAGGACGGTGTGCACATGTATCTCCGCAAGGGGACCGTGTGTGTGTGACCTTCGTAATTGTCATCCTGATGACATTATCTACGCATAACATCCTTTGATCGAACCTAGCCTTATTTCTGCAAAAACGACTGGGTCGTTTTGTGTTTGCTGAAACGGGAAATAAAACCCTGTTGTGTGACACATTTAGATTATTCAGAGATGCCACCGAAATGCCCTTGGTAATATGAATTTAGGAGATTATATACTTCAAATCAAGGCGCGCTCATGCTGATGATCGGTTGATGGATCTAGTTTATGAGGGTTAGATCAATCATTAGCAATGCAGGTAAAAGTAAATTGAGTTGGCAACATTAAGCTGCGATTTTCTTGACCCTGTCCGAAAATGAATTCATTCTCTTATTTTCTTGTAGTGTTATTTTGTCAGACAAATACCTCTCAGTCAGTTATTCTAATGTTTTGCAGACACTGATACTTGGTAATTTGAAAAGGTGATCACTCTCTCTCGATTTCAAAACCTCTAAGGCCTAGACGTTTTTCAATCATTCAGTTTAAAATTCCCCATGGAATTCGTTTTTGTTTATTCCGTATCAACCGACAAGAGAAGTCGGATATCGGCTTTACACCAACTCTTCGTGTGAGGATGTTCCACTCAACCTCGGAGTGGAGTCTAATGTAAATATGAGCATCAGGAATTCGACTGCTAGGCAGTGAAATCCAGTGCATCTGGTGGCAGTAATGGATGAAAGTCTAATCATGCAGCAATCAGTTGGAACAACCTAATCAGACCGTGTCCGAATGACAGCCCTGGTACCCGAGTTCGATTCCCCATAGATTTGCCGGATGTGTGTTGTTGTTAATCAAACCGTCTTACATTGCCTCCGCGGTAATTTTACTTCTAGATTGGCATGTCTAGTCTGTGAAAAAGGAATCATCAGTAACAAAGACGACAATGAGGGGGAGGAATGTGAGTGACAACAATTTGCACCTCCAGCATTGCGTGAAAAATCACACTGAATTTTAAAACTTTTCTTCATTCGAATAGGATTCTAATTTCTAGTAGAGACATCGAAACCCCAAACCTAAGAGCATCTCATCTGTGACGCTTATGTAGAATGAAGAACGTCAGCTGAATACAAGCCTGAGGATGTACTTGTCGTAGTTCCACTAGTGCAGGTTCATCTGTGCCACAGAACTTGCCTCTCGTGATAATTTGTACAATATTTATTCCGTCAATTTTATTGAACATATTAGAGAAAAAATGTAACTGAATTTGTTAGTTTCAATGTACAACTAGTAATGAACGTTTTCGTTACCTTTTGGCGCAAGTAGTTGGATGAAACTTAGTGTTCGGAAAAAAGGGACCCCTACTAGGTGCTTTACTGGTGTTAGTTATTGGTTAATTTCCAATCTAGATCGATTTCGTTCACGGCCGAGCACTCAGCGCAACACACGTGTTATTGACAAATTTCGGAAATGGTTATAAAATCCAATATAATTTCCGGGAATAAACACGATAAACATGAAATATCTTGTTTTCAATAACTTTTTGACGGTTAAATTTAACTCTTGCTTCTCAGAAGTTAGAAGAATAATGCAGAAGAGGCAGATCAGAGTGTGTGAGAGAAGACTTATTAGATTATGTGCACACGTTGCGATTGTCTTGTGGTATCCAAATCGCATCTGTGTGAATGAGAACAAAGGAATAGAGCATACTGAATGTAGATCAACTAGAGGCACCTTCAAGATTACGGACTTCACAAGTCATTTCACGATTGAGTAAACTTATGTGTTATGTTTCGTAGGCTACGTCTAAATCGACATCTGGGTCTTGCATTACATTTCGATAAATATTGGGTGGATTGAAAATTCAATCGACCACTTTGAGCGGATCGAGCCAAAAAAGAAAACTTTTATATAATCACCAGAATGGTTCTCTTCTTCCGGAGTGAATCGAACTGCAATGATACTGAACCAGCGAAAGTGCACCAAAGGTTAAAGGAAAATTTGGTCCTGACGTCTATTTTGATATCAGCTCAAATTAGAATGCGAGTAAGAGTCCCAACCGCGGTGTTTTAACTTACTGTATAATCGATTTTCCGACTGCAAGCTACAAACATCCGTTTATCTGCACTTTAGGAGTTTCCGCCTTGAGAAATACCAACATGGTCTAGTTCGTGCCGTATTTCATAGGGTTCAACAGCTATATAGACTGATTGTCTTGCCGGATTCCAAGTTAGATCATACTTTGCTGGATTCCGTTTACTTTCTCAAGAGGATCCACAAATACTTGGGTCAAGTCAACTTCATAGCTATTTCCTTTATCACAAGGAAAAGGACGGCTATATCGACCAACATTTAAAAGGAAATGAAGTAACAACCGGAATATCTCGTCACCACAACACTCTGTAAAATGAACATGGAACGCCACTGAACCATGGATCTTCTATGGGAAATTTTGTTGTGCCACTCGTACCAATCTGGATTGGGATGACGTTAATTTTACCTGCAATTATATCTATCCATTTGAATAGTCCCGCGATCTGAGATACAAATGAAGAACGAAACGTCGTATGTCAACCGTATTGTGCGCACATGTTTCGAAACACCTGTTATTCTTGGCGGGGGGTGGACAACTAACATCGAATGCAAATTCACGGCATTTTGGATTTTTACAATACCTGAAAACACACGTCTTTTGTGAATTCTGGAAGCGATAGTTGGTTGACACATGAAAATCCGCGACCTGTTCAAAAATAATTTATTTAAGCAATGCTTGTTTTGTGGTCGTCATTGTTTCACGCCAGACGTCGCTCTAACAGATTCTGACATGTCTCAACCTCCTTGCCTTCTTCATCAACACGCGCGTTCACCATCTTGTTTTTAACACTTCACTTTCGTAAGGCATCATCAAAATTTCTCAGCTAGCTTGATTTTGCCTCGTGACCCAACTCAATTGCGCAACTCACTTAATCATCATCCTGTTCCAATGACTACCTTTAACTAATTGTAAATAGCAGTATGTTGCTTCGTTTGAATTGATTTGAAAAATATCCGTGTACAGTTGAATGAGAACACTCAAAGTCGATGGCCCCTATCGATTGTATTCCTATGTATCCTCCTGTGAAAATGAAAAATGAATGACCCGCTTTTGTAATCAGTGATTGGTATTGCAGAAACTTGCTTCTTTAAGATGAACAGAATCAGGCTCACACTTGCACTAAGCTGACTTCGGCAATTCGGAAAATGCGGAACCAAACCAAAGTGTAGTTTGAGTGAGTGTATACAGTGGTGGTGTGCGCACGACAATGACCTTGTCCTGCTTTGCTGTTGGTTACATTAGGCAGCTTGTAGCTGTTAGAAAACGCTGCCTAAGTCGTTTGTACGGCGTTCAATCTGTCACATGAGGCCACACTGATCCTTTTGTTCTTTTGCAATATAAACGAGAGTCAGTACCATTAGGATGGCTACTAAAGCATTATAGAGAAGAGACAACTAGGTGATTGGCTAATTACAAAAGAGTAATAATATGAAGTAGCCAAAGGGTTAGGATTACCTGTTCAGGTTGGATCACAAGCTGATGTCGCTTATCTGCTCCACTGTGTACTGAGCAACATCTCCAGAACTATGAACATCCAGTTTTGGCAGTCTCGCTAGTCTTTGCTTCAATGAACCACCACATAATATATTCACATTTGTCGTAGTGCATAATAAGAATAAGATCAACTGTTTCTATAATGAGTAGCGTACGAACGACTGGAAAAATTTCCCAGAGGCACACCACCGGTTTGGCGGTCCTTGCAGCTCGTCAGGTATGCGTATCCGGTAGCCCTTTGTCTAGTCGCTTATAATCTCATTCACGCGTTGTCTGAGATCAACTGTGCCACAAATTATCGGTGATTACTTTAATACTATTCACTCAGTGCCCTAAAGTAACGATGTCCGAGGTCAGATAAGCAAAATCAAACTGAATATTGAAGGCTTGACATGAAATCTATTGTCTGTATATATTGTTGGAATACAGCTTATTGTTCCTCCATGAATTTGTCTCATACCCCATGTACGCACACATTCGTGCATATCACTAGATGTCCAGCACTCCTAATTGCTGGTTCCCTATCTTCGCAACATCGGGCCTGTCGTCAGTTCTACGAGGATCTGACCAAAGCACAAAAGAATTCCGAACAATCCTCTTCCACACGTGAATTCGTCATGGTGGATGGAGTGGCAAATGTGATTGCTGAACGTGTAAGTTCCATCATTCCTGTTCTGTATTGATTAGGTTTTTCTCCACTTTTACGGTACAGTCGTCCCCCAATTGAAGGAATTTTTTAGTGGGTAGTTCTAGTGAAGTCGGATGATAAGACATAAATGTTTTAATCTGCAATCATCGTAGTGGTTGGTTGAAAAAATCTGGCTTTCTGTTCTAAGCATTTACTATATTCTCCTTTGCAGCTCTGAGTCGAATAACTTCATCACAGATGAGCTCAGTTGAAGTTGTTTTGTTTTGACAGATGTACCGTGTGTTTGTAGCCGATAACGGAATAAGCTTTAGTTATCAAAACCGATCTCAAGCACACACTCATGGTTCAAGTATGACAGGTAAGCTGCATTTGCGGCAAGCTTGTTGAGTTTATGGTCTTCTGAACAAATCTCTCCATGTGATCAATCGAACCACTCCCAAAGGAGGCTGTACGATGATCTCTCTGCCAACAGCTGTTCTAGTTCGTTGCTTCTAGAAAATTGAACAGCTTGAATTAAGTTATCTAGGCAGAAGCAACCCGTTTATGTTCTTGAAAGTTGGAGGATACGATCATGAGCCGTTCATTTAGAGTGAACAATATAAACGTCAGTCATCTTTTGACTTTTTAAATCACCCTTGTTTACAATGTGCAAAATTAATTGTTTTCATCAAATGAGATCATGTAACATTATTCTCTGTGGTAATTATACCATTCCCAAAATACCAAGGTATTTTGTGAACCAAATTGAGCAGACTTTAAAGGTGTCATATATATATACATATATCTATATAGTGAATAACTAAACTGAAAGGAGTAAAAATATACATTTCGATGATATTCAAAATGGTTACTTCTGCGATGGGAAATTGGCTTTTTGAGGTGAAAGCAGTGATGGAGAACAACCTCGACTCACAGACCTAAATTTTATTTGTGCCTATTGGCAAACGTCACACACTTCTTTATCGTCTTTAGTTGTCTTCTTGCGTTAGATAAGAAACTGGCCAATAATACCGTTTTCGGGGGTTCGTCCAACAAATTCATCACCATGTTCTGTAGGGCTACGATTCATTATGGATAAAAATGGATCTGCTAATCCTGCTTTCATGGACCAGTATGCTTAGCCCTGGTAACTATTGTTAGTCCGTGAACCAATCCCAGAAAAAACACTTGTTTGCTTACCGTGTGAGATAATGGAGATTAAATATAAAAAATTGCCCTGATAAAGGAAATAAGCCAGATAAGGATATTAACAAACTGCGAACGATTCGATTAGGCGAGACCAACCGATAGATGCTAGGATATTACGTTCCGTATGAACAATGTGCTTGGCTNTTGGATCATCAAGTAAATCAGGCATGGAATCAGCCCCTTAAATTGTATAATGATAATAAAATTTCACTGATGTGTTCGTTACATGAATATTGTGGACATAATCAGTCAGTGAAGATAAGTATTCAATAAAACGTTTTTTGGAGAGTTCTCCACGATAAATATAGGTGCACATACTGATATTCAATAGTCGCAGGGATCAGTATGTTCACCGAATGCGAAGTTTCAGCAGGAAAATCTATGTGACCAATTACCCGTTTATGAGTGGTCACATTTCTTCGGTGAAAATTTGTTTTCGATTTAGGAAACTGAACTCACCGCAAGCCCCGTATGTGGCATCAGGTGAACTGTGACGAATTCATCAGAGCTTGAAATCGTTCTATGGTATATGATTCATCTAATTTTCTTGCCAGTAGGCTATATTTCCGCTTTAGCTACTACTTGTAAAATTCCNNNNGGGAACGAAAACAGATATAACGTACGACGAAATTTGAATTGCGCTTAAGGACTCTACGGACAATACACAGCTAACAGCAGGAAAGCAATGCTTAAGGCAGGACGAATGAGTCAAGTCTAACGACAGCAGCTAGCAGTACACAGCGATCCTGTGAATCTAGACTAAACGCACGGCCTGGGCAGAAAAAACGGCTTTGGGCAGCAGTAATAATATTGAACGTGGTTCTGTAAATAATTACAGTATCAAATATATAAAGAATAGGCATTCGCTACTAGATCGACAGTGTCGATTTAACTAGCGCGTCAAGGTTAGAATAGAAAATCAATAATTATAAAAGGCAGTAATGCAGTTAAACAGAAATAGAAAAAGAGGGAAAGCATATAAATTTTAGGTCTCGTATAGAGCGCAACGAGTTGCGATATGGTGTAGCACAAAAAATTGATAAATGTTAAAGTTTGGATAATAAAGGATTGTCAAAACTTTTACAGTGTGTTTGAGGATAGGATCATGATAACTTGTTGCTTAGATGTCACGAATCGAAAATGAATAACGGATTATGTGAAACACATGCTCTAAGACATATTGGAACAGATACGTTCCATGGCTTGATTCTTAAGCTTTCGTAAGCAAATCTATTAGGGATTCATTAAAGTAGAGATGTGGAAGAATAATAGATAAGTGCAATCAAATTACAATGGGAATGAACGGACCAAAAACAAACGAAGGATGTTTTGAAAAGTAGGAGCGTGACAATGGTATATACCGTGATAAGATAACGTCATTACGCTGGTTACCCATACCATGATCGGGTTTCTGTTGGGACCGAGTTTCGTCCGTCTTCAGCAGTTGTGAGTGATTCTCTTCAATGAACNGAAGTATTACATCCTGTTGCGCTTTTCGGGGACGTTGTGTGGTGTGTGCTTGCGCGCGTCATTGGCAACTGTAGGTGTTCGGACGCTGCTGTACGTGGTGTGGGTTTCCTTTTCGGAGATCGATAATACCTATATAGTGTGCAAATCCCTGTATCCTCTAGTGGGACGCAGTGGATAAGAGGGAGATTGGATGAGGAATCGATTCGGTTATCTGGCTTGATGAAGTGAACGACCTCTTTATATGCTATGGGTGCAATCCCGTCTCCAGTACGCTTCAAACCTGGGTTGTTTTGGTTTTTGTTGTCGTTACACGATCAGTTATTCACACAAAGTGCTGATCTAGCAATAGGGAAATCAGTTATATGTATGAATGAGATTAATAAAGCAAATTCATTTTCGGGCATTTACAATTAGATGCACATTCATATGCATCATGACATCGAATTTCTGTTATTATGTAAAAAGACAATTTAGTCTGGCCTCGTGATGCACACAATGATTAAAACAAATACTTGGAACGTATAGTCTGAGGGATCATTTCTGTGCAGTCCTGTCAAACAGCGTGGCAGAAGCAGTTGATTGCTGATATCTTTGGGGCAAGACGAAGGTCAAAATCAAAGTTATATTCACAGATAGCTCAAAGATCGAGAATTTGAGTGTTTTTGACCCGAGGCTGTTCTGTGCACGCATATCAATGACTTCAGGAATCGAACTGTATCGATTCCATCATCATTACCAAATGGTTTTTTTATGTGAACTTCGATCTGTTAGGAGGTACTCACGAAATTACTACGAAATTGCCGGATTCCAGTTTTCCTACAATGTTCCCGTCTAACTTCGGGAGAGAGTTAAATGGTTGAGAAACCTTTGTTTCACATTCACTTTGAGTGAACTCACCAGTTACGTTCTATTGGGAACCCCAAAGGGAGATCAATGCTTCGGCTTCAGCATACATTTATCTGGTATCAGGTATTTTTCGATGCCATACAAACACAAGGAGATCATTTCCCATAAGGGATAAAGTAAAGTTTACGTGAGTCAACCAGTAAGGATGAAGGTTTTACTGGACTGGGGTCTAAAGGTCCCCTAGCCCCCGAAACGTTGTGCTTTGGACATTTACCGAGTGAGCCATATACGGAAAGAAAGAAACCGTTGGCCAGTGACCACCGTGAATCGGATGAGAACGGGTCACATCAAGTTGGATCGATGAATAGGCGGGATTGTTTAATTGAGAGAATTCAGCCTAGGCCCTGAATAACACAAAAGGAGATTCAACAAATCGGAAACACAATGAATGGAATGGCAAACCACGATCGCAAATCAAAAAAAACATTCACTGACCCATCCCTGATCGTCTGTGCATCTGTCGAAGGAAATTCGACCGGTCTTGAAAACCATGCCACAGATCTGTTGCTATAAGTCAAAGGCAAGGCTCAGATCAAGGTTTTCAGAAGCCATACAACCAATTTAAGTGTCTGAAACCTTTAAGATAATAACGGGCATCTTTAATAATAAACTAATGCTGAGCAGATGAACAGTTAATTCCAAAGAGGTGGGGTTGGGATGTTGTGAGTTGCTAGCAATAAGTACAGAAGGATTCAAATATGAAAGGACGGAAAAAATCTGATTTGAAAACCAAATATAAACTTCGAGTAGCTTTCTTCAATAACTGTTTTGATTCATCTTCTTCACATTGAAAACCAGTTTATCTTGCTTCGTACAATTGGACACATTTTTGGCTTACAGTAAACCGAGCCAGTTCTCGATGCACGTTTCCGAACAATAAAATAGTACTGTCCGTTTAAAATGAAGTACAGTTGTGCATCAAGTCTGGTAGAAACATATTCCAATTTTTGAATGGCAATTGCTGTGAGGCAAGTGAAATTGTGTCTGTTATAAATTTCAATACATATAGATCCCGCTTTGTTGATACGTAAAATCACGAAGGAAAACAGAATAGAAAGCTTATCAGCTAAATGCCACCGAAAAGTATGAAACGAAAACATACAGTCAACAAAATGGAATTTGTATTTTTTCTCTCCAGTATTCATAAACCAAAATAGTTGATTTATCATTAACATAACTAGTATCACCTCTTCCCCGCTCGGTTGTAAACATTTGCGACTCGGTTCAACCGGTACCATTTAAAGCCATTCAAACGTTAAATCACGCTGGTAATTTCTTCCAGAAGCAAAGAATCTTGTATACTGATGATCACTACATTTTTTGCAATCCTCTCCTCCTGTACCGCCTTCTACTTCATCGACTTGTTCGAAAGAGAACATTTCGTTTTTCTGTATTACTGCACAGGGAGACCTGCTTCCCAACCTGCACGATATTTTATCTGTCATTTTTTAATTATCTGCTTGAAATTGT